TTTTTTTTTTTTTTTTTTTTTTTTTTTTTTTTTTTTTTTTTTTTTTTTTTTAATCTTGTCGGGTACTAAAACATAGACAACCGACACGACCAAGAATTAATTTGGCCATTGACTTGACCTCATATTTATTCATTTTAATTTTAATTTCAGAATAATTGTCAACTAATTTTTTTTTTTTAATTTTTAGGAATTTAAACTTATAATAAATTAGGAGGTTTTGAATATATATATAAATTATATTCGTGTTTTGTTCTTTTCTATTTCCACTCCCTCGATATTCATTTCTTCTCAAATTCAAGTAAATAAACTATAAATTTAATATTGATAGTGTTATGATCCGTAAATGTTTAATATTAATTTTTTTTTTATTTAATTAAAGAAAACAATAATTAAACTAAAAATGTTGAATAATTATCTTAAAATATTTAGGGTGTATTTACATAATAATAATGAATTTCACGAGAGAAAAGTCATTATATAAATACATACCAGAAATTCAGAAATTCAGGCAGAAAATGTGGATAAATATTTTAATGTGACATAAGGTCAATTATTCATCATTATTGGTTTAATTATCGTTACTTTTCTTTCTCTTTATTAAATGAATCGTAGAAAAAGGGCAGAAAGACTGACCGGAAGAACATTGACCTGATCGTTGACTTGACCCTGTCCCTTCGTTGACTTCAAGTGGGGACCACAACTCTCCATTTATTACCCTACTTTTATTTCCCACCAACTGTACAATACAGTTCGACTTGGGAATTCATGTCTTATTATTTTATTTANAAAAAAAAAAAAAAAAAAAAAAAAAAAAAACACAAAAGTAAAATTAAAATTGGGGATTTGAAGTTGTTAAATACTAACGCAAAATGAAGAGGCTAAGGAATAAAATTGGTTAAGATGCTGAATTTTGTGGTGTTTCTTTCCTTCCTCCTCAGCTTCCCCATCCATGGAAGCGCAGAGGTTTATCCAGACCCCTTCCGTTACTGCTCCAACGCCACCTTCTCACCCAACTCCACCTACCTTTCCAATCTTCAAATCCTCTCTTCCACTCTCTCCTCCAATGCTTCTCACAATTTCTATCACAATTCTTCCGTAGGCCGACAGAAATCTCCTAATTCCACCGCTGTATACGGCGATTTCCAGTGCCGTGGTGATATCAACGCCACCGCCTGCCGACAGTGCGTGGCCACGGCCACTGCCAATTCCACGCAGAGCTACTGCCCTCGTAGTGTAGAGGCGGTTATTTGGTTGGACGAGTGCCTTTTGCGATATTCCAATGAATCTTTCTTTTCCATCGTGGCTGAACGGCCGATGTTGATTTTGATTAATAACAATGCGATTGAGGAGGATGAAAGTGGGTTTGATCGGATTGTGGGCTCTGCGTTGAACCATACGGTTGCTAATGCTTCTTCTGTCGAAGGGGCTTTGAAATTTGCGACCAAGGAAGCGAATTTCAAAGACGCGATTGTTTACACGCTGGCTCAGTGTACAGGGGATTTGTCCACTTCTAATTGTGGGAAATGTTTGAGAGGCGCTCTTCGGAATTACCCTGGTTGTTGCAGCGGTAAAAAGGGTGGTAGAGTCTTGTCTCCCAGTTGTATGATTCGTTACGAGCTTTATCCTTTTTACGGCGGCGTTTCCCCCTCTAATGCTATTTCCACACCCCCTGCTTCTGCCCCTGCTTCTGCCCCTGCTCTGCCTCCGCCGCCGGAATCTTCTCCCGATTCCAACCCTCCTACGTCTGAGCCTCCCCCTCCTCCGACGGCTTCTGTGCCAGCTCCGCCTCCTCCGTTGTCCTCTTCCCCTCCCGCTCCGGCACCCTCTACAGCCTCTCCTCCTCTGCTTTCAGGAAACGGGAGAGCGACGGTGGGTATGGTGATGGGCATAGTTGTTGCAGGCTTTCTCCTGTGGAGTTCGTAATTTTTGAGGTCTAGCCTTAAAATAAATAAATTATTGTGTGAGAGATTTTATTTGACTGAATTACTTGTAATATTTAATTATGCGGTGGTTTGTATTTATTTTATGTTTAATATATAAGTTTACCCATATATATATATATATTTTATACGTATTAATATTTATATTAAAAATAAATAAATAATTAATTAATTTTGAAATTCTAATGATAATATTTAATTATTAAAATTTATATTGTAATATTAAAAAATATATTTCTTTGTACAATTTTTTAAATAAAAATTATATTGAAAAAAATGAAAACATTAAAGAACTATATTTTAAAATAATAATAAACGGAGATTTTTTTTTCTATAGACAATCTAATCTATATAAATTTTTTGCTAGGAATCTATTATTACACAAATAAATAGGGAATTTGGAGAGATGAAAATGAGAATGGCTTCCCTGTCTTGTCCCGTGGACATCTTTACTCCACACACATATATGACACCTATCCATGATGAGACCTACAATAGATAAACAATTCGAGTTGATTGAAGTTCTAGGTCTCGACTAAAATTATAGGTCGCTTGAGCTTTACGTGAATTTCACCTTAAATCAATTGAAATCTCGACAATAGGTGTTTATCAATGATCATAAATATCAAGTATTACGTTTAGGGTATATGAACTTGTTGGCCACACTGATCTAGTTTGTCTCCACTTAAACTTGGACGTGAGTTTAGTTTCTAAAGGTTCGAATCCACGTTGGTATTTCTGCTGGAAGTTGATTGTTCATCCACTGTGGATCTCATCTTATTATCCGTGTTTGTAATCTTTGAATAGAACCATCCATCAATAATAACAACCTTTGAGCTTAGACCCACATAAAATCGATAACGACTAAAAAAGACCCAAAACTACCTTGGTAGTGACCAAAATGCAAAAAATTACAAGGTATAATGTTTCAATTCAATATTTAATCCATTATTTTCATAACATTCCAACCACGACATATTTGCAGTATATTAATATAATATTATGTTACAAAAAATTATATGATTGGAATAAAAAACATAGTTTGACCAAAGAGAAATCGTGTTCTGTTCTATTTCCAACATTCTTCGAGACACAGCAACATTCTTTAAATACATAAAAATGTTCCTAAAATAGACTAATGGGTATTTAAATTGACCAAAATTATCATCAAGAAATCATCAATGGTCAAGAGTCAAAGTTTCCGTTTTTCTCGTTATATAATCCGATCATATCCTTCACTAATGGCGGCACGGCAGCCATGTTCCATTCAACCCTTCTCTTTTCCATCATCATCATCAGCAGCAGCAGCAGCCCTGCAGCTGCTCAGCCAAGTATCAGTTGTTCAAGCGACAATGGCAATTACACAGCCAACAGCACCTACAGAGCCAATCTCCACCACATCCTCTCTTCCCTCCCGACCGACAACCGCCTGGACGAAGGCTTCCTCAACACCTCCTATGGACAAAGCCCCGACCGAGTCAATACCATCGCCCTCTGCAGAGGAGACCTTAGCCCAGAGCTCTGTCGCAGTTGCATCAGCGACTCTGTTTTGGACCTTCCCGAACAATGTCCCAATCAAAAGGAAGCTGTAATTTGGTACCCCAATTGCATGTTTCGCTATTCGGATCGACGGATTGTTGGGGTTTTGCGAGATACTCCTGCTTTTTGGATGTGGAACATTCAAGATGCGGTGGACCTGCAAGGGTTCAGCCTGGTGGTACAGGGGCTGCTGAGTGAGCTCGCAAAGGAGGCTGCTTCAGGGGATTCTAAGCTCAAATTTGCTGCTGGGAATGTCAGCACTTTGAACGAGGATTATTTGAATGTTTATGGGATGATGCAGTGCACGCCAGATATTTCACAGGCACAGTGCCTTGATTGCTTGCAAGTTGTTGCTGGCGTTGTTCAAACATGGTGTCCAGGGAAGATTGGAGCCAGAATTATTAGACCCAATTGTTTTCTTAGGTATGAGATTGTCAGTTTCTTTACCTCTACAGCCGTTTCAAGAGTTTCCCAGTCGCCCCCGCCGCCGACACCGCCATCACCTCCCTCCCTTTCACCAAATACAACCACCAATGCAGCAGGTTCTTTTCTTTTTGCATACTTTTTAGTCTGTTTATACCAATGGTTAAGTCTTACATTTATTTATCTCTGCAGGAAACGAGTCCGAGAGCTTAAAGACTGTCATCATAATAGTTGTTCCAATGGTTGTGGTTCTTGTATTTATGGCATTAATTGTCAGCATCTTCATGTTTCTAAGAGCAAGAAAACAAAGGGTTAATGGAATTGCAAGTAAGAATCCATTCCAAAAGGGCAAACAGTTCAATTCTTGTGGTGTTTCTTGAAGTAAGAACTTGGAAATGAGTTCTACTTACACATTCACTTGTTCTTCAGGTTTAGAACTGGATGACACTGCAGATCTGGAAACTTTGGTGTTTGATATCAGTACTATAAGAACTGCAACAGATAACTTCTCAGAAGCAAATACTATTGGACAAGGTGGATTTGGAGCTGTTTACAAGGTTTGTGAGGAAATTTAGCTTTTGCATTGAATTAAAATGATTGGTATTCGTAGTGTCTGTCCGATCCCACGTCGATTGGAGAGAAGAATCAATGCCAGCGAGAACGCTGGACCTTGAAAAGAGTGGATTGTGAGATCCTACATTGGTTGAAGAGGGAAAAGAAACATTGTTTATATCTTAGCAGATGCGTTTTAAAAACCTTGAGAGGAAGCCCGAAAGAAAAAGCACGAAGAGGACAATATTTGCTAGCGGTGAGCTTGGGTTGTTATGGTGTCGGGACTCACTATGTTTTGTGTATTCTTTTGACAGGGAAGCCTTGTCAATGGGCAAGATATAGCAGTGAAAAGGCTCTCCCAGAACTCCATGCAAGGACAAAGTGAGTTCAAGAATGAAGTCCTGTTAGTGGCTAAACTACAGCACAGGAATTTAGTTCGGCTTCTCGGCTTCTGTCTCCACGAACACGAAAGGCTTTTAGTGTTTGAGTTTGTGAAGAACTCAAGTCTTGATAAATTCATATTTGGTAACGTTTCTTTACTTCAATCTTTGCATACTTCATGTCTTTGTAACAAATATCTCGAGTCATTAGTACATTGTGTCCCGCCTAATAAAACCCGTTGTTTTAACGTTTAGATCCGTTAAGAAGTCAAGATTTGGACTGGAATGCGCGTTACAAGATCATTGGAGGCGTTGCTAGGGGTCTTGTTTATCTTCATGAAGATTCTCAAATTAAAATCGTTCATCGAGATCTCAAACCTGCTAATATTTTGTTAGACGCAGAAATGAATCCAAAAATTTCAGATTTTGGTATGGCAAGATTGTTTCTACCCGATCAAACACGAGGAGATACAAGTAGAATTGTTGGAACTCAGTGAGTACAAACACGAAAAAAACTCATTAGTATATTGTTTGTTCAGTGTTATAAACTTCACTCTCACCCTCTAATTCAGGGGATACATGGCTCCGGAGTATGCAATGTATGGAAAGTTTTCAAACAAGTTGGACGTGTTTAGCTTCGGTGTGTTAGTCTTGGAGATTGTGAGCGGCCAGAAAAACAGCTCTTTCCATCCGGAAGATAACATACATGATCTTATAAGCTACGTGAGTATAAACATGTCGCGAAATTACACACTCGGTTTCATTGATCAAAAACCTAATGCTGATTGCAATGAATTGGTGCAGGCATGGAAGAACTGGAGGGCAGGAACAGCGTTGAATGTTGTAGATCCCATTTTGAGAAGTGGGTCAGTTGGTGAAATGAAGAAATGTATTCATATTGGGTTGCTTTGTGCTCAAGAAGATTCAGCTGATAGGCCAACTATGGACACTGTTCTTCTCATGCTTAATAGTGACACAATCACTCTCCCAATACTTTCTCCACCAGCTGATTTCATGAGTAGGAGCCTCACATCAGACATGTCTGGTTCCCATGTGATAGCCATGGAATGAGACGGGCCTTGAAGTAAGTCGATATACGAAGCGTCGATTACTGAGCGATGCCCTCATTGATTTCAAAACACTGACTTGTTTCAACACTGCAAATAAATATATATGGTTGGTAAGAGTTGGTTCTTTTAACTTCCTGAATTGTAGCAAAGTGATATTGTTCGCTTTGACCTGCTATGTATCGCCATCAGTTTCACAGTTTTAAAACGCGTCTGTTAGGAAGAGATTTCCACGTCTATATAAAGAATGTTTCGTTCTCCTCTCCAACTGATGTGGGGTTTCATAATCCACTCCCCTTAGGGCCAGTATCCTCGCTGGTACCCTGCCCGATGTCTAGCTTTGATACCATATGTAACAATCCAAGCTCACTAATAACAAATATTGTCTGTTTTGACCCGTTATATATCGTCGTGAGCTTCACGATTTTAAACCACGTTTGCTAAGGAGAGATTTTCATGTTTTTATACGGAATGTTAGATCTCACGTAAACGTCAAGACAAGAAAAAGCAGAAAAGCAGCATATTCTCACCAAGTTACAAAGATATACAGAACGTTCATATTGGCTTTAGTTAGCTTTACAAGTTGAGGATTCTAGACATCCATCCCCAAACAAAAAAGGTGCGAACTTGGAGCAGCCAGAGAATGATGAGAAGCATCAAGAACACAGAAAAAAGATGAATCCATATCTTTCCAAAACCTTGTGGACTCCCAGTCGTTGTCCTGATGGGTATCCAATTGAGAGTCGAGGCACTAAGCACACTCCCTCCCACTGCTATCTCTACTACACTGAATCATCTCATATCTCTTCCCTCTCACCCCACCACCCAAAACAGCAGTTTGAGAAACATCAAATTCTGATTAAAGCAAGAGGAAACCAATCCTAGTGCCTCAAATTCCATTTATTTTTATTCCGGATTCATTCTACCGAAAACGAAACATTCTTTATAAGAGTATAGAAACCTCTTCTTGACGGAATTGTAATGTGAAAGCCTAGAAGAGAAGGTCCACAGAAGGTGATGACAATACGTTAGGGGAAAAAATGGACAATATCTGTTAATACTGAGCTCGAACTATTACAGATAAGATTTAAGTCGAAAGGGATACTGTTAAAATTGATATGAACGAAAATCATAGTCTTAGATTCATGATTATAAATGGATTTTATAGCTCACATAATCAAACCACCTTTTTGAAACGAAAAATAATGTTTGGGAGTGTATATTTGAAGGTGAGTTTATATGTGTTTTTTAGATATATATCTTCCGCAATAGTAAAAAGTTCCAATCTTTCAAAATCCACTCATTAAATTAAACAAAAATGTTTTTTTTTTCTTCTCTTGATTGATAATGTAATACACTAAAAAAAAGGAATATGGAAAAGGCCAATCATAAAAGAACAACTTTATAGAAATCCTGCACAAAATATCTCAAATCAAATGAATATTTATTTTTTTGGTCGATAATATCAATATACCTATCATAAATATCGATCTCTCGGGAATAGAGGTAGAGAAGTCTTCTTTGTTTTCATTTATATCAATTATTTCATTTTCTATACCTGCAAAATTTCTTATTTATTTTGGCAAGGATTACTCGAGAAATCTACAGAGATCGAACTTTCGACAATTAATTTGTCACCGTTTATTATTCTTTAATAAAAATAGTTATTTTAAAGTAATATAATCTTTATTAAAAAAATTATAAAAAAAATCTTAATAAATCAATATATTTTAAAAGAAAATGTTATACCACCTAATTTCTAAACCACACGTGTCATTAAAAAAAAGAAATATATATATATATATATTAAGTGAACGTGGCACGAATTGAAAAAGAGAATTCAATCTCGTCTCTAAACTTATTTATCTAACGAAAAAATGTTCCCTACTTCCTCCCTCTCTCATCCTCGATTTAAATTGGGAATCCCCTCCCTAGGGCGGGGAGGGGATTTAATTTTAATTCGTTAATTTAAATAGATTTTGAATAAATATCTTAGGTATATAATTTAAATTCGAAAAGTAATCATCAATATTGATATTTTAGGCAAAATGTTGATAGGAAAGTCTGCATGATATTAAATAAGTGGCAGTTAGAATAGCAGAGGCCCAAACCACGTCGATAAAAAAAAAAAGAAACCCATAGATTTAATAGAATTTTAGGCAGTATTAGGGTCTGGTGGCACTGACACGTGTACTGTTGAAAATGATGTGACAAATTTCACATGGCTGATATGGCACTCCATTTCCTCCACCTGTAAATACCTCACTGCTTTATGTTAAATTTAATACTTTAAATAAATATTAAATTATTTAAATGCTTCATTTATTAAAAAAACGGTTAAAATCTTCTAATTTATTTATTATCCTTCCTCTTGTTGAGTTCCACGTGTCCTATAAAAAAAAACAAAAAATTTACTTTTATTTTATAAATATACTTTAAATCTCTTTTCAAAATAGAATAAAAAATATTATTTGACGTGTCGTAGATAAGATCAAAAGAGGAAAAAAAAAAAAAATCCTATAAATTTAGTAGGAATATAATAAACCCAAATCCGAGAAGATGAACAGAACTTTGATTTAGCATTTGGATATTCTAATTACGTTAGCCAGCGAATTGCTTCAAATTTCATTTTCTTATATAACCCATCAATGGCTTCATCGATGGCTACCATTAAAGTGGGCGTCAAACTTCTCAGTTAATCGCTTCCCTCCATTATTCTATCGAATCTTTTTCAGCCGTTTTCTTACTTCTTCGTTTCCGCGTGAGAAATTGCGAGGGAACTACTCAGAACAGAGCAGAACACTCTCGAGCCCCGGCTTGTCTTATCTCTTATATAAGGTTAATCAGGTTCTAGTTCATCCTCTCATCATTGCACAATGAGGAACACCCAGACCCAGTTTGCCGTTGCCTTTTTGGTTCTATCGCTTGCCATTAATGTTTCTCACGCCAAACAAATTAAACCCTTCTTCGATTTCATTGAGTTTGATGACTTTCTTAACAAAACCCAACAATGGAAAACGAGTTTTCGTCTCCATTTCCATCAAACCCAGTTTCCGTTTTCGCCTCCCATTGTGATTGCCGGAGTTCTCTGTTTTATCGCCGCTTCTTTATCCAGCGCCGGCGGGATTGGCGGCGGTGGGCTTTACATACCTATTTTGACGATTGTGGCTGGTGTGGACCTCAAAACAGCGTCTAGCCTCTCGGCTTTTATGGTCACTGGAGGGTCGATTGCGAATGTATTTAACAGTTTGTTCTCTAAAAGATCCAAATCAGAGGGGAAGTGTTTGATTAACTTTGATATTGCTCTTTTGACTGAACCGTGCATGTTATTGGGAGTGAGTATTGGAGTTTTATGCAACCTTGCGTTTCCTGAGTGGGTTACTACTATTCTGTTTGCCATTTTTCTTGCTTGGTCGACTTTGAAAACATGTAAAAGTGGGACGGTGTATTGGAAAATGGAAACAGAAGAGCATAGGAATAATGGGTTTAATTTGGAAGATGCATTAGAGAATGAAAATGAAACCATAGCTTTTGAAGAGCCTCTGTTGCCTACACAGAACGATCCCAGATTGAGGCTTCCTTCAATGAAGTTAGGGGCCTTGGTTCTTGTCTGGTCTTGTTTCTACCTTATTTATCTTCTTCGTGGCAACCGCGATGGACAGGTATGGATTTATCTTATTCATGTTAATTGATTCTATGTCTGATTAGAACATAACTGTTCATTGTTTGGGGAAATATCAGAGGATTTGAGTGTCTTCTAAATACATAGAATTATCCTGACATGTTCTTGATTATTGTGTGAAGTATATATTGAAAAATGCTATTGACTTGTGAATTTGACATTAAGTTATTAGTATGCTATATTGTTTGCTCCAGTGACAGAGGCTCGTATTAATGTGGATCTGTAAGTGCAGCCTTTTCAATGAGTCTTGAAATCAACCTGGAGTTTTTCATGAGATGAGAAATCCTCCTGTTTTTCACTATAGAAAATGAACTCTCGAATTTGTCTGGCATGGTGAAAATCAAAGGATTTCCTCCTCAGTATAGTTAAGGTTTGCCTTGTATCATGGTTTTTGATCTTATGATTCCAAGTTGTGAATTAATAGTTTGTTGTTTTGAGTTCATTATAGAAGCAAGTAAATTTGTGAGATCCCACGTTCGTTGAAGAGGGGAACGAAACATTTCTTATAAGGGTGTGGGAAACCTCTACCTAGTAGACATGAGACCCCACATCGGTTGGAGAGGGGAATGAAGGATTCTTATAAAGGTGTGGTAAACCTCTCCCTAGTAGGCTTGTGACATCCCACATGGGTTGGAGAGAGGAACGAAGCATTCTTTATCAGGATGTGGGAAACCTCTCCCTAGCGTTGTAAAACTATGCGTTACGTAACAGGCCAAAACGAACAATATCTGCTAGCGGTGGGCTTGAGGCTATTACAAACTTTTTGTATTGTATCCTATTGTATTCATTCCCAATTTAAATTTTTGCACTTATTCCCTTCTTAGTCTTCTTCATTGACTGAATTTGAGTCTATCGCAACTATCGCATATTCGACGTCTTATTTGGCCACGAATTTGAGTGTGACAGTAAAGTCTAAAGGGTGATGCTGCAACTTGTTTCCTTTTTGTTGGGGCATATATGATGCCACCCCTTGGTCCCATTTGCTACTCCCTTTGGTACCTTTTCATTCCATCCACAAACTTTATATCCTTGGACCTTACGTTGACTTTAAGGAAAAGAGCTTCCACACAACCCTTAGTTTCCTTTTAAAGATGAGCTCTTCCACACAACCCTTAGTTTCCTTTTAAAGATGAGCTCTTCCACACAACCCTTAGTTTCCTTTTAAAGATGAGCTCTTCCACACAACCCTTAGTTTCCTTTTAAAGATGAGCTCTTCCACACAACCCTTAGTTTCCTTTTAAAGATGAGCTCTTCCACACAACCCTTAGTTTCCTTTTAAAGATGAGCTCTTCCACACAACCCTTAGTTTCCTTTTAAAGATG